AAAAATAAAAAGATATTTGCATGGAAGTCTTACTTGTAAACAGCTTCACAGTGAATGAGAATCAATGATCTTCAGGTAGTGGGCATGGTTTAGTGTGGTCTTTGCTACTCCACTAAAGTCATGGTGTGAACAAGGGAGCAGCCAGGGTATTTGGCAGGATGCGCCATTCATAGCTGTTCAGTGAGGGAGAAGCTTCATCACAGTAGAAAAAACTGTATTGCTCATCTAGACACATCTCAATGCCTGGTTATTCTTACTAACAGGGCTGGTGATCATATAATTTATTATTTAAAGGGATACTTTGGCAAAGGGGAGGGACCTCTAAAAAGAAGTAACAGATGTTAGTTGATCCTGGTGTGGCACTGTGGGTTAATGCACTGAACTGTAAAGTCACTTTGAACCACAAGGTTGGCAGTTCAAGCTCACCAGCTGTGCCTCAGCACACAGGGTCACTGTAAATCAAAACTGACTCAACAGCACTTAACTACAACAACAATTGATCAGCAAGAGAAGTAATCCAGACTGCTCATAAGCAAACCAGAATTAGAAGTCATCCTAGTGACAAGGGAACCAGCCTTCTGTCGCGGCCAGGAGTCCTCTGCCTACCCTGATTGACAGACAAGGATGTCTGGGCCATCTCTGATTGTAACTGGAGCACTGTTACCCCTCTGTGAAGGGAACAGGAGCCAGCAGCTAGGAAAGCACAAACATAAGAGACAGTTGTACCCTAAGAGATACTCATTTGTCCTGAACATGGAAACCAGGCAGTGACTAGAGGGTTTCTGCAGAACTAACCCAGTGAGAGCTCTGGTAGCATAGTGGTTACAAATCGGGCTGCTAACCTCACAGTCAGCAGTTCAAAACTACCAGCTGTTCTGAGGGAGAAAGATGAGGCTTTCTGCTCCCGTCAAGATTTACAGTCTCAGAAACCCTGTACAGGGTCACTCAGTCGGAATCAACTCCACGGCACAGAACAACAACAACCCAGTGAAAGGCAGGCGAGTGGAACAAGTAAGAACTCAGAACCAGATTTAAATCTTGGTTCTTGGCTTATTATCAATTTACTATGACGTTGGGTAATTGACTTAATTCAGCTTCAGTCTCTTGTCTATAAAGTAAGAATGTCTGTAAAGAAAGTACCTGTCTTACATGGTAATTACAAAGATTCCATTGGATCAAACGTAATACAGCATTTCATAACATCATAGTAAATACTTAATAAATATGTGTGTTGTGTGTTTTAAAAGCAAATCTTTAAGGCTTTGACAGAAAGCAGTCTTACCAATTCCACCAGGAGGTGAGACTTTTGTTCATTTGTTTTTTAATTACAGTTAAAATACATAGAGCAAGCATTTGCCAACTAAATAATTTTTACTTGTAAAAATTTCAGTGATGTGAATTGTACTCATCATATTGTACAACGATTACCACGATGCTGTTCAGAAAGAAGAATTTTAAGGACTCTTACTTGTAATGGAGCAAAACCAACAATGACAAACACATGTATGAATATACAAATCCAAAGTCAGACGCTGAGCTGTTCACCAGAATTATTTACTTGAGAGAAAAAGAACAATGGAGTCCTGGTGTGGTGCTGTGGGATAAAATCCTGGACCACAAGGTTGGTTTAATCCACAAGGTTGATAGTTCGAACTCACAAGCTGCTCCTTGGAAACCCTATTCAGAGTCACTATGAGTTGGAACCGACTCAACAGCACTTAAAAATAACCATGAACAAGCCAGCTTCATGTAAAAGAGAGATAGTAACTTACCTCAATGGTATTAAAAAAGGATTCTATCTCACTAACAAAGCCTTCAATCCTCAAAGACTTCTCTTGTAAATTTTCCAGAAATTCTGCTAATTGAACCTAAAAAAGAAAAAAAAAAAATCAAGATATCCTAAGTATATGATGTTTAAGGAACAAAGTTTAAGCAGTGAGCTCCAATTTCCTTAGAAATTTAGTATTTTGGGTAGAGAATCACTATATTTGTTGTAGGATAAGCACTGGACTGATAACCTTAAGGTCAGCAGTTCAAGCCCACCAGCTGCTGCAAGAGAATTAGGATAAGGCTTCTTAATACCATAAAGATTTACAGCCTCAGAAACCCTCTATAGGGTCACTATGAGTAGTGGTTTGGTTAGATTTTGGATTCATGAACAAATCAATTCTTTACCTTTTCTTCAATTAGGAAATTTGTGAATGAAAACCCCCAAAGCAAACTTTACAAAGATATTTTATTGTCTCATGTAAGAGAAATAACTTACTGGTAAGTTGGTGAGCTCAAAGGATGCTAGTTAAAACTCACAATTACTAAAACAAAACAACAACAAAAAAGCCAGACCAGGCTTACTGGTCAGGAAGAGACTGAAGAAATCCAAGACTGTGGCCCTTGACCACCCTTCAGGTCTGGAACAGAACTCACCTTCATGGCCCAATTTTCAGGCAAGCAGTAAATTAGGTATATAGGGGGAACAATAACACTAGTAAGGTATGCTCACCAAAGATCAAAAGGGCAACATTTTGGACAAAGTTGAGAAAGAATGAGAAGGTGGGTGGAGTATAAATCGGAACCACAGGGAGGAAGTGGGATAATGGTTGTTGCATAGAGAGGATTGCAATCATTGAGATGAAACCAAGTGTATGATTTGTTGAATGTAAAACTGATGCTATTCTCTGTAAACCTTCACTCAATTCACAATAAAACTTAAAATAGAAAATAAAAGCACACTTGTTTGAGTGAATGATGTGAGGAAGATGAATGCTTCTCCAGGATCCACCCCCTGCTTCCCTTGGTAACCTCGATCTCCAGACACCTGAGGACTCCAGGCTCCAATCATAATGGACTCCATCCTTCCTTGAACTCGTTCACACCTGTGTGCCTTCTTGTTGGCATTCCCTGTCCCTGGAATGCCCTCCCTGCCCTTGACCGAGAACTCTCATTAAAGGCTCAGTTTAGCGTCACCTACAGAGAAGGTTTCCCTCTCCCATAACACACATCTCACTCACACTCTTAAAAGGTTAGTTTCTTAAATACCATGTTCTCACAACCCTGTACTTAAAATTGGCATCTACAGATGTATTTTTCATTTCTTTTTATTTTCTTTTCCAATCTCAATGATTAGCATGGTTCCTCACACAGAACATTGTTGTGTGCCGTTGAGTCTATTATGATTCAGCAACCCTGTTAGAAGGTAGAACTGCCTTCTGGGGTTTCCTAGGCTGGGTCCTGGGGTGGTGCTGTAGGATAAGCACTGGGCCACAAGAGCAGTCATTCAAACTCACCAACTGCTCCTCAGATTCCCAATACAGGGTCGCTATGGTTCAGAACTGACTGGACAGTACTTAACAACAAATCTTTACTAGGGAGCATGGTAGCCCTGGACTGGAAACAACAAGGTCAGTGGTTCCAGCTCACCAGCAGCTCGGCAAGAAAAAGATGATTTTTAAAAGCCTCGGAAATCAGAAACTCTATTCAGTGCCATTTAACAATTCCATGGCACTTAGCAACAACAACAACAATTTCTTTTATCAGGATCCCTGGTAGTGTAGTGGTTAAAGCACTCGCTGTTAACCTAAGGTTGGCAGTTTGAACTCTGTGGGAGAAAGATGTAGCCATCTGCTTCTGTACAGATGAAAGCTTTGTAAACCCTCTGGAGCAGTTCTACTCTGCCTTCTA